TATCTATCTATCTATCTATCATCTACCTATATCTATCTATCTATCTATCTATCTATCTATCTATCTATCTATCTATCTATCTATCTATCTATCTATCTATCTATCTACCTATATCTATCTATCTATCTATCTATCTATCTATCTATCTATCTATCTATCTATCTATCTATCTATCTATCTATCTATCTATCTACCTATATCTATCTATCTATCTATCTATCTATCTATCTATCTATCTATCTATCTATCTATCTATCTATCTATCTATCTATCTATCTATCATGCTAACAACATGCTAATTCATGCTAGAATCATGCTAGTCACATGCTAATTCATGCTAGAATCATGCTAGTCACATGCTAATTGATGCTAGAATCATGCTAGTCACATGCTAATTCATGCTAGAATCATGCTAACAACATGCTAATTCATGCTAGAATCATGCTAGTAACATGCTAATTCATGCTAGAATCATGCTAGTAACATGCTAATTCATGCTAGAATCATGCTAGGCACATGCTAATTCATGCTAGAATCATGCTAGGCACATGCTAATACATGTTAGATTCATGCTAGAATCATGCTAACAACATGCTAATTCATGCTATTAACATGCTAACTCATGCTAGAATCATGCTAGTCACATGCTTATTCATGCTAGAATCATGCTAACATCATGCTAATTCATGCTAGAATCATGCTAGTCACATGCTAATTCAAGCTAGAATCTTGCTAGTCACATGCTAATTCATGCTAGAATCATGCTAGTCACATGCTAATTCATGCTAGAATCATGCTAACAACATGCTATATTATGTTAGAATTGTGCTAGTAACATGCTAATTCATGCTAAAATCATGCTAGTAACATGCTAATTCATGGTAGAATCACGCTAACAACATGCTAATTCATGCTAGAATCGTGCTAGTAACATGCAAATGCATGCTAGAATCATGCTAGTAACATATTTCATGCTAGAATCATGCTAGTTACATGCTAATTCATGCTAAAATAATGCTAACAACATGCTAATTCATGCTAGAATCATGCTAGTAACATGCTAATTCATGCTAGAATCGTGCTAACAACATGCTAATTCATGTTAAAATCATGCTAACAACATGCTAATTCATGCTAAAATCATGCTAGTAACATGCTAATTCATGCTAAAATCATGCTAACAACATGCTAATTCATGCTAAAATCATGCTAGTAACATGCTAATTCATGCTAGAATCATGCTAACAACATGCTATTTAACGTTAAAATCATGGTAATAACATGCTAATCTATCTATCTATCTATCTATCTATCTATCTATCTATCTATCTATCTATCTATCTATCTATCTATCTATCTATCTATCTATCTATCTTTTCATACTTTTTAAAACTGTTTAAACTAAATAAACTATTACCGTCAGGCTTTCACAAGCCAGCCTCAAAGTTTGTTCTCAAACTTTAAGAATCTAGTTATTCTTCTTCTTTCTTCTGAGACTAATTTTAAAGTCTATCTCCTCCTAACCCTTTCAAGCTTCATACCTCAAACTTTCGTCAAACCTTCAAACTGGTCTGACTCGGGTTGCTATATCTTTTCCGACTGATCCGACTTTCGGTTTTCCGAAAAACGACCCGGAAAATTCCCAAAATTCCCATTGACTTAACATTGGGTCAAACTTTGTGACCTCATAACTCTGCATCAGACTGTCCTACAGACTTCTAACTGGGCTCATTTAACTCAGTCTAGCCAGCAGCCAATAACTGATGACCTTTAAACTTACTAGCCACTCCCTAGCAACCACTTTTGGCACCCTAGCAACTGTCCCATAGACTTCCATTGTAAAAGACTGCCATTGACTTAACATTGAGTCAACCTTTGTGAGCTCATAACTCTGCATCAGACTGTCCTACAGACTAGAGTCAGGCCCCATTCAACTCAGTCTAGTCAGCAGCCAATCACTGATGACCTTTAGACTTACTAGCCACTCCCTAGCAACCACTTATGGCACCCTAGCAACTGTCCCGTAGACTTCCATTCAAAAGACTCTCATTGACTTAACATGGGATCAAACTTTGTGAGCTCATAACTCTGCATCAGACTGTCATAGAGACTAATGGCTGAGCTCATTTAACTCAGTCTAGCCAGCAGCCAATCACTGATGGCCTTTTAACTTTATAGCCACACCCCTAACTACCACATACTGCACCCTAGCAACTGTCCTATAGAATGTAATTAGCTGTGCTATCAAATGCTTATAATTCTAACATGCTAATGACATGCCAATCATGCTAGCAACATGCTACTCATATGCTAATCATGCTAATGACATGCTAACTCATACTGCAAACATGCTAATGACATGCTAATTTGTACTAGAATCATGCTAGTAACATGCTAATTCATACTAGACTCATGTTAATAACTGGCCTACATGCATATCTTTGCATAGCAGTGTCCTATTGACTTGGGGGATGGCTCATCTGACTCAGACAACCAATGAGCATCTCAATATGATAATAAAGCTCACAAGCCACGCCCCCAAATTGATTCCATAGACTTCCATTAAAATAGGCCAAGATGCATATCTTTGCATAGCAGTGTCATAGAGACATGGGGGTTGGTTCATTTGACTAAGACAACCAACCACATTCAAGTTCACTCTGTAACCTCGCCCATAGCAACAAAACAGAGTACCCTAGCAACCATTCATTAACAGCTATATCTCAGCATCAGAACATCATAGAGACTTGGAGATTGGCTCGTTTGACTCATGCTAGCAAACGGAACTTCCTACATGCTACACATGCTAGCAGTGACTAGCTACATGCTAATATTGACTAGCCAAGTACTGTAACTTGCTAGAAATGCTTACTAAGTATAAATGTTTTATAAAGCATGTATGTGAGGCTTGCCTAGTAACCAACCAGGGTACCCTAGCAACTGCCTAGCAACCACCCAAATTACCCTGGCAACCGCCTAACAACCACCAAGCAACGGCCCAGTAATGCCTTAGTAAGGGCCTAGCGACCACTCAGGACACCCTAGCAACCGCCTAGCAACGCCTTAGCAACCACTCAGAATACCTTAGCAACCACCTAGCAACACCTTAGCAACCACCTAGCAACCACTTGGGACACCTTAGCAACCGCCTAGCAACCACTCAGAACACCCTAGCAACTGCCTAGCAATGCCTTAGCAACCACTCAGGACACCCTAGCAACCGCCTAGCAACACCTTAGCAACCACCTAGCAACCACTCAGGACACCCTAGCAACCACCTAGCAACGCCTTAGCAACCACTGAGAACACCCTAGCAACCATCTAGCAACCACTTAGGACACCTTAGCAACCACCTAGCAACACCTTAGCAACCACCTAGCAACCACTCAGAACACCCTAGCAACCACCTAGCAACACCTTAGCAATCACCTAGCAACCACTTAGGACACCCTAGCAACCGCCTAGCAACACCTTAGCAACCACCTAGCAACACCTTAGCAACCACCTAGCAACCACTCAGGACACCTTAGCAACCACCTAGCAACACCTTAGCAACCACCTAGCAACCACTCAGGACACCCTAGCAACCACCTAGCAACACCTTAGCAACCACCAAGCAACCACTCAGGACACCCTAGCAACCACCTAGCAACGCCTTAGCAACCACTCAGAATACCCTAGCAACCACCTAGCAACCACTTGGGACACCTTAGCAACCACCTAGCAACACCTTAGCAACCACTCAGAACACCCTAGCAACCGCCTAGCAACACCTTAGCAACCACCTAGCAACCACTCAGAATACCCTAGCGACCACCTTGCAACACCTTAGTAACCACTTAGCAACTAGTCAGAACACATTAGCAACTGCCTAGCACCACCTTAGCAACCACCTAGCAACCACTCAAAACACCCTAGCAACCGTCTAGCAACACCCTAGCAACCACCTAGCAACTAGTCAGACCACCTTAGCAACTGCCTTGCGCCACCTTAGCAACCACCTAGCAACCACTTAAAACACCCTAGCAACCGCCTAGTAAAATGCTAATTCATGCTAGAATCATGCTTACAACATGCTAATTCATGCTAGAATCATGCTAGTAACATGCTAATTCATGCTAGAATCATGCTAACAACATGCTAATTCATGTAAGAATCATGCTACTAACATGCTAATTCATGCTAAAATTATCCTAGTAGCATGCTAATTCATGCTAGAATCATGCTAGTAACATGCTAATTCATGTTAGAATCACGCTAACAACATGCTAATTCATGCTAGAATCATGCTAGTAACTTGCTAATTCATGCTAGAATCATGCTAACAACATGCTAATTCATGTAAGAATCATGCTACTAACATGCTAATTCATGCTAGTAATATGTTAACTTAAGCTAAAATCATACTAACATGCTATTTACACTTTAAAACCACTTCAAACTTTCAGATTCGGCTTTTCAAGCCACCATAAAGTTTGTCCTCAAACTTTACTATCTAGTTAAATTCTAAAATGTAAAGACCAATTATCAGAAAAAGGCAGCACAAAGAAGTTTGAAACAAGTAAAGGGTGAGTACCTGATGACAATTTGCCTTTTTGAGTGAACAATTCGTTTAAACTATAAAGGGCCACCACAGGGACTTGAACGAAACTTTAAACAAAAATACCGGATAGAGCTAAACAACTCCTTCAGGCTTATTTAAAAACTACAAGCTTGGAACTAAACAGTGCACAGCTAACCAAATAGCTTCTTGTGCACTGAGCCAATCAAAGAGAGAGTGTGGGAGGCAGAAGCAGCTCTCAGGCAACAGGACACACATCAGTACAGCTAAAGATGGAAAGTGTGAAATGCAGAGACATCAGAAAGGCACTCTGTTAGTATTGACGCCAGTCTGATTTTTCCAGGCTCCCTCAGGAATCTGTGAAAGTTTTTTTCCACTTCTACAAGTGAATTAATCAGTGTCTGTATGGCAGGTGATTGTGGAAAAACAGGAGTCGTACCTGCATTCAGGAGGGATGGGATGGCAACACAGCGCACCAGATCTTCCAGCAACAAACACTGCCGAGCTATTAAGATGGCAACGAATGTTGCTAGAGAGTCGTGGAAAGATAGATCGCTCACCTGGCAAAGAGAAAACAACACAAAATTTTCCTCAAGTATACATTTTTGCAGTTATCCCGAGCAACACAGCCAAACATAAATACAATTTTTGGTAACTTTGTATCTAATCACAAAACATAATCAAAAAATACTTTAGTCACTGTTACAATAGCTATGTTTCAATCCAAAGATGCGAATATATGCGCAGTACAGAAATATCTCATAAAAGACCTGCGAATAACGCAGCATTTCCAACCAATGAGCCAGAGAGAACTAAATCGTCACTTTCTGATTAACAAATATCAAGAGTAAAAACAAATTTGCTGTGGTAGCTGCGTCATTATTTATTTACTTGCATCTCAGAAGACAATGCCAACAAGCAATGAATGCCTGGTGGCATTTGAAGGCATGAGACGCAGACCACAGACACTTTTGACTATTCTGGAGGTGATTAATAATATAATAACACAAATACCTGAAACGCTACTTTTTAGAATTACCAAAACAACATTTTAAATGTTTTATAGTGTGCTCAGCCTGCTGGTTTGTCCATTCACCAACATTTGGATCATCACATGATCTCTTATAACAAAATCACGTGACCTTAATGCACAGGAATTTGATCAGTAAATTTGTTTTCATTGTAGTTTACGCATATCTTTTCTTTTCATATAAAAGGTTTAACCTACTCAGTTCAGCACATATGCTTTTTTTATGTGCATTTTCTAAATGTTTGCACATCTTGATGTTTCCATCAACCGTTCTTTATGCACATATACAAAATGAAAATAAAATAGGTGGATGGAAACAGATAATGATAGCACAAAAAGTCTTTATAATTCCGATTAGGTCAAGAGCTTAAATTGATCACATATTTTGTCATAATCAACTCAGGCTCATAGTCACATGAATCAAGCAGTTTAATACGACAGATTTGAGTAACTGTTCTTTTAAAAGTTGCTGATTTATTTACTTTTTACCTAAATTCATTGATTGTAATAGGAATTCATATAATTGGGTTTTAAGTAAGAATAAAAGAATTCCCCCTAGACAAAGTTCAAATTTAGCAACAGAAAACTGCTTGATTTTTAAAGCTGCACAATTCAGAAAAAAAATGACAATGCAATGTTTAATTGTTTGTTATATAATTAATACATTTTGTCCAGATCACATAAATATATCTTTCTGCAGAAAAACAAATTCTTATTTTTATTGTCTAGGTGGATCTTCTAAAGTAATAAATTTGTGTCAATTAGAAGCTAGCATATTTAATAGTTCAATGCCAAAATGAAAACGTACAAATGATCTGGGGAGTCTAATGGTATTCAGGTACAGACACTGAATAATGAAATGTAAAATAACATAGTATAGTGTTGACTGTATAAATTAAATACAATTAGGCGTGTCAAGATATCTATATTTTGTTATACGATATATTGCACAAAAATATATTATGATAAACAATGTTATTGTCATTTTAAGAATGACAATATAATAGCATCATAATGCAAGTACACTCGTCCAAAGAACATATCATATTTATTCTTAAGAATATTTAATTTATTTATAGTCATTTTACAAATGGAATAATTAGTCACTGGAATCAGAATGTGAAAACAGATATCCTAAATCAATAATATGTTAACAAAAAACTGCAAGGTAAAAAGAATTAGAAAGAAGTAAAATGTCTAATTTCAGTTGGTAGACACCCGCATGAAAATATATTATAGTATTTTATAGTAATTCTTTAACCTTACTGACACTGACACCTAAAATAGAGATAAAGATGTTGCAGAATTAGCTAAAATGTTCCTGATCTTGTTTTATTTGTTTTTTTGTTTGGGCAATATATATATATAGCATCACCAAAAATTATTGAGGTCATGGCCATGTGTTGTGCAATAAGTCAATATATTGATTATTGTGAAAGGCCTAAATACAATGAATCATTGTTCAAGCTGCAAAAACGATTGTTTCTTCATTCTGAATGGTTTAATTCAATTCAATTCATCTTTATTTTTTAAAGCGCTTTTACAAAGTAGATTGTGTCAATGCAGCTTAACATAGAAGGTTATAGTAAATTGAAACTGAAGTGCCAGTCCAGTTTTCAGAGTTTAAGTTTAGTTCAGTTCAGTGTGGTTTAATTTTCACTGCTAAAAGTTCAAACACTTAAGAGCACAAATTAGCTTAATACAATAATAAAGAAAATTGAATGTTTATCTTTTAAATGTTTTTAACCGTTACTGTAAATGTTACATTTTGCTATAAATCCACAATTCACATTTGCTGAACTGCAGTGTCTAGTCAAGTATGATCCCTACTCGAAATCACACTTTCTGTAAAACAAATTGTGTAAATAAAACAGTATATTTTGCAGTCCAACTTATACTGAAAGAGACTACTGTGTGAGCTGTGCTTCATGCATTTCTACACTATAGGTAACAGATTATTGGGGTTTAAGCAGTAGATATTTAGACTCACGTCAACATTGCAGAGCAGATCGTTGAAGCCACAGTTGCCGTTGTTAGAAGAGCAGCAGAGGGCCTTGAGCACACCCAACCACTCAGCACTTAGAGAGCGACAGTATGCTGTCAGCTCCGCACACAGGATACCAATATCATTCACCCTAAAACAACACACAACATTTGCCAACCACAGAAGAGCAGGTGCAGCTACAGATGCCATGCAGCTGTTCTACTACCACTTAAGACATCAGGACTCAGAGTCATTGTTTTGGCATTACTTAGCAATTAGTAATGCCAAGACAAATGTTAATGCATAAGACAAATGTTGTCTTCTTTCTGCCACATAAAAAAATATACAGGTGTAACAATTATTATTTAATAGACTTTTCTAATAATTGTTTTTCTTTAATAACAAAAAAGTCTGACATGGGACAATTTTTTGTGCTATTACCTTTTTATATATTTTATATTTTTGTGGTGGAGAGAGACAATTTAGATGTTACTCTACGATTTATTATTATTTCAGCAACAAAATCTCAATTTTTTCTAAAAATGTATCTTTAATCCAATCATGATAAACAATATATTGTTGGAAAGGTCTAAAATTTCTAAATGCATAGTTCAACAACCATTTATGGTTACATTTTAAAACCATATGATTTTAGTCTAAAAGCAATCTTAACAAATTATATATAATTTGTAAGCTTAATATTTCTAGTTTTCATATCTGTTGATTTTTGATAGATATTACTAAGCAACAGTTAATTATTAATTTAAAACAAGAATTGCAAAGCATTATTTTGCAACAGCAATCCACGTCTTAGAAGATTTGTAGAGGATAAAATCAAATCAATTAATACCAAAGGTTTGATAATATTGTAGAATTGTCAATTTTACAAGTAAAAAGCTATATTAGGTCCAAAGCAAATCTATGCCCAAGATTTCATGACTATGTTCAAAAAATGGGGGCGACGGGTTGATATTTGCCCTGGCCTGACAAACAGAAACAAACTACAGAGTACAAACTTACTGAACAAGTCTTACATTATATTGCAGCTGTTTAAGTGTATGAGAATATAAATATATATATATATATATATATATATATTTTATTTTATTATTATTTTTTTTTTACTGGAATGGCTTATCACTCAAAAACAAAATAATACAAATAAATACACTAAAGCAGAGTTTCTTCATCCTGGTCCTCATGCACCACCGACCTCTATAATTTAACCTGATTTAGATAACCAGCTTGTTAGAAGTGCTTCATGCATGAATGATTCAGACTAACACGCCACTACACAGGATGTATTGCTCTCATGTCCCTTCCTCTTGTGTGACATAATATACCTCCATAAACAAATACAATACAAATTTCCATAGCACACACTAAAATGCCATTTGAATGAAACATATACGCTCCCTTAAAGACCACATTGTAATTAGATTTGAACGAACGTCTGATGTAAAAAAAATAAAAGGAGGAACATAAAAAATATGCAGCATGGAGGAACCGGGGTTAAAAACTGCGCTAAAGAAACATTAAAGTTATAATTAAGTAATTCTAAAGTTTTATCTTGAATTAGTTTTTATTTAAAACTGCTTTTTATTCTACTTTTTATTTCATTTTAACATACTAAACATTTTATTAACTTTAGATGAAATTTTAAATTATCTTTAATCTTCTTCTTGTTGCCCGGTCAGATCACACAATTTTTATCGTCAGTTACAAAAGTCACTATGTCAGATTATACGATTTTGTCTTGATAAAATCTTGATTTGTCTTTGGTAACAAACGTGCCAGACTACATGTTCCTTCATGATCAGTCATCCCGTGATGTTGATGTTGAGCAATATTTCTCTAAGCAGTCACAAGTGTTGCTATAACAATATTTCTTATCCTAATTTCATTTATTTTTATCTTATTTCAATCTCTCAATAAACACTCATACTTGCTAACAACTAGACTAAATTATTTAAGGGCACTGGTTATGACCTTGAAAGGATCCAACGTATATTTCTTTTTTAACATTAGGACAATTTCATTTAAATCTAAATGTTTTCCAGCCATAGGTTGCATATTAAAAGCTCCCTCGTCTGAACTTGTTGGGAGTGAGATGAAGAAAATGAAAGCAAATCAGCACCAAGGAAATAATCAGATGCCCAAGAAAAAAAGACATATTAAACAATTAGCAAATATATGACAGAGGTTTGTGATGCAACAATTATAGTGGAGCATTAATTAAATAATTTTCCACAAAGCGGAAAAAATCATCCACCAGCACAGATGAGTAGAAGACGGGCACAAACAAAAAAATTATTAGTATATTTTTCTTGGAAAAAAAATATCTTTTTGAATTTTGTTTTTGTATAACGAATTTTGTTTGTATAATTTCTAACTTTATTGTTTATTATCTTAATCTTATTGGTCAGATATCTACTAGATAAACAAAAATTACGAATAACATCTGAGGTAAAGTGCTACAAAAGCAGTGTGCTATACGCTTTAGCGCCAAAGCACAAACTGGTTTGTTGAATAAATTCAAATCTAGCGGAAATAAAATTAAAGTGAAATATTCATTATTAGTTAGGCATTAAAGTTAGCATTTTTAATGACAAAATCATCCGTTGCGGCAGTCAGTTTTAATTTAATTAGTTTAATTAAGTAATTTGAATTAGCAGGAAACGCTTTTAATATATATTAGCAGCACTGAACATGTTTCCAGACTACCTCGGAAGAACAAATTGGTCGGAAGGCTGAGAGAACTCAGAAACTGGAGAATGGAGATGTCTGCTTATCTGTGCCAGACAGACAAATAAAATTGCTCAAAACACTTAAATATTTTAGAGAAAGTAGTAAAGTTTGCATAACCAATGATTGATCTTATCCACCCGAGACCCACCCATAAGTAAATATGCGGCCTATTTTTTGATTACCTGACCCACGGATTAACAGCAGCACCCGCAGATATGACTGAGAAATGCTGTGCTCCTATTGTCCAGTGTCACCCATATGACGGAACTCGTTGTATACCAAACTATCACGATGCATCGCAGACATGGTACCAGTTGTCGCAAACTATGCTACATTACACAAAAATAAACTATTGAATTTTGTGTCACGACAGCCATTTGCTGTTTACGACTCCACATGACACCCTACATCAAAGAAATCGTGCCAAAATCCAGACTAAAATAGTGTGATCCGACCAGGGCTTTAGTCAGCAATTTGAGGGCTTTAACAGGTGACAGAGCAACATTTATTTTTTTATTCAAAAATTTTACTGAAATTAAATTAAGATAATTTTTTTTTTTAATGGTGTTAGATACTAATAATAAACCTGCGGAAAACAATCAACAGAATCAGATACCAACCTCTCAGGATCTCGATGGTCAACGCAAACATCCATGAGCACATTACACACAAAGCTGTAGCGGTTAGCCGGGCTGTCATTGAGTTCATTGGTGATCTTTCCCAACATGGAGTGGTTGAGGTTGTGTGCGGTAGGATTAGTGATGGCATCGATCATAAACATCTGATCCCACAGCATGTTGGAGTCTGACGGGTCGATGTTATAATAGATGGAATTCTTCACCTTTGAGCAGAACTCACTGTGGGATTGACAACACCAGAAGCCATTAGAAACCAAGAATATAGGAATTTATTCCAAAATAAGCCATGCTATTATCGCATTCACCTGAAAATCTCTCCAAACTTGCTCTTTAGGTGACTGCAGGAGGTATAGAGGTCGTAGAGATAGGCTAGGATACAGCGTTCTGCTGAGGAACAGTCTGCAGGATTCACACCAGACTTGACTACAATCCGCAACCTGCAGAGCAAGATATGACACTTTCATCAATGTCACCCTAAAAGATGTTAAATGCACTGTCCTATTGAGCTGTAGAAAATAATATGACATACCCGTCAAAGACCTGTGCGGTCTGGTCAGGGTTGAGGATGAGGCAGGAGTGGTATCTCCGCAGAACAGCCACGATACACAAACAGAGGCCTGTAGTGTAACTGCCCGCCAGGTTGGAGGACTTAAGCAGGAGTTCTGCTTCCACCAGACTCAATTCATTCAGCAGCTACATGGCAACACACACAACTTTGCATATTAGTGTACAAGTAAAACAAGAAAGAAGATATAGGGCCCTATCATACGCCCGGCGCAGTGTGGCGCAAGGCGTGACGCAGTAGTCTTTTGGTAGTTTCAGCTTGGCGCAAGAGTCGCTTTGAGGCGTTGCGCTATGCTGTTTAAATAGCAAATGCATTAGCGCTCATTTGTGCGCCCATAGGCGTTCTGGTCTAAAAAGGAAGGCGTTCTGCGGCGGACCGCTGGCGCGTTGCTATTGTGAGAAACTATAATAGATTTTTCATTAAACCAAAACTAACCCGGTCTAAACTCCAGCGCAGAGTTGCGCCTCGCTTACACACTGCTTAATACCCACAAGAGAGCAATAGGCAAATATCTTTACATATGAAAAAATTTAAATATTAAGGATATATATAGGATATAATAAGAATAGATATAGGATATAAATATAAAGGATTAAAATATTACAAAACATATTTTTTCTAGCCTACATAAATATAAAAAACCACTGCTTTTATGTCTTCATCTCAGGAGGCTTTTTCAGTTCATTCATAACAATTTGCTTTTGTATAATGTTATTATTATTAGCAGTATTATTTAATATATCCATATTTATATTTGTTTTATTAAAAACAAGCTTAGATTTGCCCACCTGTCAGGTTTTAGACCATATGGGGCAAAGCATGTGTTTTAGGATATAACTCAGGTTTTTGAGCACATTTTGCTATTATTATTCATTTATTCGTTTGCTGGAAATTAGAACTGAATTTAGAAATAGTTTTGAAACGAATATTTGCGCTTAACAAACAAAAGTATTTATTTATAGACTAATTGATGTCTGTGCGTAAAGGTTTCCCTATCCAAGAGCAAAAGTGAAAGTGATCCATTATCTCTCATTCTCACGCAGTAGATGCTCTGTTTAACAGTTTTCTGTTAAAAAACTGTTAACTATTTCTGCTTGTGAAATGCTCATTTTTTCCACTTAGACTTACTTTGCGTCCTGTAAATAGCGAATGCGCTCTTGGCGCAACGCAGCTGACTCCTAAAGGGAATGGGATATGAGACTCTAATTGGTTTATTCTCAAAACACACCTATAACTCATTAAGAAAATAAACTCAACCCTTTTAGACTTTTAGATTTCCCATCCTTAAATTAGCAAAAACGCGTCCTGACACGCCCTGAAAGCATTTGCGCCCTGCGTTTTGCGCATGGACCATCAAAATAGAGCCCATAGACTTCACACGACAGTAGGGTTCCAAGTTGTTTTCATTTAAGCAATTCCGATTCAGCCTATCATTCCACTTCATAACGATTATTAATTTCCATTTCAATTTTTTTTAAACAGATTTTTTAAAAAGCCATTCACTCTTGCCATGTTTAGGCTATAATCAGTAGGGTGTAACTGTTAACTGTGAAAAGTCAACAAATAAAGACATAATACTTTGATTAAAGAATGTAAGACTATACTAGAAGAACATGTTATACTGTAATCCGAATACATTTAATCATGGTCACTATTTAAATAAATAAATAAAAAATAAACAAAATCAATCGACAGTTTATCCAGAGTTATGCAGCTTAAACTCAAAGATGACTGCACTGCAGAAATGCTTTATTTTTATTTCAAAAATCTAAATATGCATAAACCAATGAGCAGTTTTAGACAATTAATAAAATTATAGTTTTGTTTTTAGAATTATTATGTCAAAATTAAGTGAGTTTTTCATTAAAAACGAGCAAAATAATCGTATTTTTAAAGCAAAAACAAGATGCTTATGTAAAACTTAAGATGCTTTATCAATCCAGGAAAAGTTCCTTGTTGAATGTTTTGGCAGATAGATACATCAGTAAAATGCTCAATGCCATTCACAGTGCAAGAACGACTGAAAAATTCATTATCTGTAAACAAATCTGAATTATGTGCATCATATCAAATCTCTGATTCTCTTAAATCTGTAACCACTTTCAAAATCAAATCAGTTCTTAGGCCTGTCACAATATAATTGTCTTGCTGTATGATATATTGCACTAAAATATATTGTTTTTTTATGTATGGGCGATATGTATTGCATCATCAAAATGATTGAGGTCATTTCCATGTGTTGTGCAATAGGTCGATATATTGGTCATTGTGACAGACCAGTTCTCAGTTCAGTTCTCAATACCCAACCCTAAACAGCAGCCAGTGAAGAATTCATAACAACTATCTGCACAACAAACAATATTTTAATTAGGGTTCTTCTTTAGTAACACCCACTAAACAATCAGCAGATAAGAATCGTTTAAACAATGAAGTATGCCACACATTTTTGCTATAAATATTAGACTTACAACATTTGTAAGCCTGATATTGTATCTTTTAAATCCATTACTCCCTTTACACATGACCAGGGCCAGATGCAATCTGCTGACGTTTTTTTGCTATTTCTGCAGAGAATTTTGGTAAACAAATCAGCGGATTTCTGTGGAATTATTTTGGGAGTATCCAGCGGAGTATCATAACTAAAACCTTAATATATGAAATAAAAAGTAACACATTTTTACCTTTTATTTAATGTTTAAAATGCATATCCAATTGGATTCACTTCATTTGGTAAACAAAGCAAGTCTCTCATATAATATCTCCACTAAAAGACAGAACATATTGCTTAACAAACTGTGTTTTACATAAATCAGATGAATATTTTTATATTAGTCAATAATATTGCTGTAATTAATTAAAAAACTGAATAAATTTAGATTTACACATTTACTCAAGTAAATAAACAGAATTAACTATGGGCTAAAAATGAGCAGAAATCTGTGGAATTCTGCGGAAAATTACTTGTATAACAAAGGTTACTCAATTAAAATGTATTCAAGTGATTTCTTCATATAAAGAAGCATTTTCAAGCCTCCACTTCCTGTACCTCTGCTTGATTTCAGTTGTCAGTTCAGGCATTTGATTGGACTGTCCATTTATATATATTTTTATGTGGGGCTTAACTCTAAATGTACAGAAAGACAGTGTTTTGGATCAACCCTCATACCTGTATAGCAAAGTCAATGAGGCCACTTATATTAAGAGAGTACTCCATGAGGTCAAAGATGAACTGGATGTGTTGGACCAGTGGGAGGTGATAGGACATCCCTAAGGCAAAGCTGGTGATTTGCTCCAGAACATTCCTGGACACCTGTGAGACAAAATAGCCAAAAAGATCATATGAACACACGTGAATGCAAATCCGATTTGATTTCTCAGAGCTTTTTCTAAGTCACTCTGAGCATTTTGCAATGTGCTGTCCTAAAATGGCAAAGATAACACTCAACCAAATACCATGCTAGTTTAACAGAAAGTGATGATTTTATTTTCTTAAACAGGAGAATGTTGCTTTGTTCACAAAAGGTGTTATTATGGTGGCTCGAGAAAGCCAAAATACTGTTAGACTACATAAACTTATCATTCTTCCATCTTCTTCTTCTGAGACAAATTTTTTATATATGCATCTTCTAATAGAAAATTCATACTACAACCACTAAACTTACTTCAAACCTCTAAACTTGTCTGACTCAGGTTGCTATATCTTTTCCAACTGATCCGACTTACGGTTTTCCCAAAACGGACCAGGAAAATTCAGAAAAGTCCCATTGACTTAACATTGGACCAAACTTTGTGAGCTCATAACTTTGGGCCAGACTATCATACAGACTTAAGTTTGGGTTCATATAACTCAGACTGCCAATCTGCCAATCACTGATGACCTTTTAACTTAATAGCCACACCGTAGCAACCACTTACGGCATCCTAGCAACTGTCCCATAAACTTTCATTTAACAAACTGCCATTGACTTTACATTGGACATACTAACAACAGATCCATACTGGAAACATAGTAGCAAACATTCTAATTCATTTTAAATTCATGCTAACATGATAATTCATACTGGAAACAGGCTAATTTATGTTAACAATATGCTAATTTATGCTAGAAACAAGCTAGCATAAAACTATTTCATACTAGAACAATGCTAATTTATGTTAGCAACTGCCTAGCAACCACTCAGAACACCCTAACAACCAATTAGCAACACCATGACAATGACCTAAAATACCATAGCAACCGCCTAGCAACACCTTAGCAACCACCTAGCAACACCTAAGCAACCAATTATCAACCACTCAGAACACCCTAGCTACTGCCTAGCAACACCTTAGCAACCACCTAGCAACACCTTATCAACCACCTTGCAAGGCCTTGGCAACCGCCTAGCAACATCTTAGAAACCACATAGCAATGTCTTAGCAAAAACATATCAACGCCTAAGCAACCGCCTAGCAACCACTCCAAACACCCCAGTAACACCTTAGCAACCGCCTAGCAATGCCTTAGCAACCACCTAGCAACCGTCAGCCTTGCAACTAATCAAAACACCATAGCAACCATCTAGCAACACATTAGCAACCACCTAGCAACACCTATCAATGCCTTAACAACCTCTAGCAACCACTTAGAAAACCCTAGCATCCATCAAGCAACACCTTAGCAAAACCCTAGGCAATGCCTTAGCAACCACCTCACAATGCCCTAGCAACCACTCAGAACACCTTGGCAACCCCCCAGCAACACTTTAGTGAACAACTTAGCAACCGCCTAGCAACACCTTAACAATCAGTCAAAACACCATAGCAACTGCCTAGGAACCACTCAGAACACCATAGGAACACCTTAACAAGCACTCAGAACACACTAGCAACGCCTTAGCAACCATTCAGAACCCTTCATCAACTGCCTAGCAAGCAACATGGCAATCTATACTAGAAACCTGCTAACATACAATATATGTAGTTATTTAGTACATGTTTCTTATATAGTTATGTAGTTATATAGACAGTTTCTTCTCAACTTCTTCAAAATTACTCTTCAAAACTGCTTCAAACTTTCAGACGAGGATTTCTGAAGTTTGTCTATGAACTTCAATTTTCTAGTTTGACATTTTAATCTTGTATATAAAATGTCTGATAGTTTGGATAAATACGTAGCGCTGACAGACTGCACAGACACTGTATGAGATCATGTAATCATAACCAAAAATCAGTTACAAGGTAATTTTTTTTGCCATTTTAAGCCGACTAAAATTCTTTATTTCAATGACTTTTTCAGTAGTCATGCATTACATAGCATTACAATGTGTGCAAACTCTGATTGCGTCTGACTGACCTGTGAGGTGACCTGGTGCTGGTCAAAGTGTGAGAGGTGCTGGAATTTAGAGAAAATATCTTCAGCAGTGGGGAAGGCCTCAGGTTTGCTCCTCTTCCTCTTCTGGCCTTCCTCACCTCCTGAGGGAAAAGACAGGACAAAATCTGCACCATTAATGGACTGAGAGCCTTAACAGAATTTCAGAAAAGTGTAATGTGAACGTGCCCTTATGTAGCACTCATCAGTCAACCAATGAGGTCATTCAGTCAAACTGTTTTTAAAATGAAAACTATACGAATGGGTGCTTTAATCATGCACAAAGCTGTCCCTGGACAAAGGGTCAATGTTTTGTGCCATGTTTGAAATAGTACTATCTGTAGGCAGAGCCGTGTATTGTCAAGGCCAAAGCCATACTTAGTCTGGTGAAATAATGGGATGTTCAATTACACCTCCATTAAAACGTAAAAGCAAACGCAGGGCAGCTCTTTCTGACCGAGTCTGCAGCTAAGCTTGAATATAATAAGTCAATGATTGCTATTAGCATTGAAATGGGGCTGCAGCTATGAATATTCAATGAAAGAAACAGAGGTTCAGTGCCATGAAAGGCTGTTAATAACAGACAAGAGAGGAAATGTCGGGGGAGAAAAAGACAGACTAAATTGAGCATTAATGACTCTCTCTATTCCACACTCAAGCAGAGATGCAGACATGTCCGCCAAAAAGACAAAGCTTTGATTAGTTATACATATTATATGAATGAAGGAGAAAGCAATGATGCATTATAAGCTTCTTCGAAGAATATGGTCATTGTGTGATCAATTTCTTTAATATAACTTGTATAAAGTTCAGTTGTGTTTACCTGTCTCTGCTGTACTCTTGCGGTTGAGAACCTTCAGGATGTCTTTGGTGATCTTCTTGATGGCGTGGCGAGCTTCATCTCGCTGCTTGCCGACTCCATAGAGAACCACTAGACGCTGGTTACACTCATGACTTGCACTCTCCTCCTGAACAAGTTCAGCAAAAAGCATTTATATGTATAAAAAATTGGATTGCTAAAATTGATTAAATATTTAGTTGTATGCTCATAAAGGCCGCATTTATTAAAGACACATTTATTCCATGGTACAGTGAAATTCTTAATTCTGATTGGCTCAAGAGATTCCTAATTATTTTCATCGAAATGCACAGATAGTTCCAGTCAGTTCTGATCATAGTTCGAAAATAAATGCGCTTCTATCAAACATCTGTAGTTAGCATAGCAACTCACATGTACTGCACAGAAAACCAATGAGGGCTCTTAATGGTGGAAATAATTAGAAAAACACACACACACACACACAAAATGTGTTTTTCAAGCAAGAATATAGCTCTTTCTCTTTCTAAAATCAAATCGGCAGTTTATGTTTAAGGATAGCATGTCTTTAAAAATTTACAGACCATCTTAGGACCAGCCACTGGATCTCATCTCTTGCATCGCTGTTGTTAATATGTGATTTAATATTAATCTTTGGTATATACCACGGTCTTTGGGCTTTTGAACCTATTATTTCTTCTTAGGTGTTTTTTTTTTTTTGGCAGATTACAAAGGCCATAAAATAATGCAATATTACACTGATCCTGCGTGTTTGGCTGATTGCTTTTGTTTTAAAGAAGAAAAAATAAAGCAGAATTTTTTCTTACCTGTCCTGATATGTTTTTTTTTTTAGTAAAATTAAATACCCTATATTTAACAGCAAAGATTTCTAAAATGGGCTTTGGCTGCTTTCTCTACAAAATGCACCTTATGTGCCTTTAAATTGGTGAATGTTTTATTTCATGTGTATATATTATTGTTTAAATAATCGTAATGTTATTCTACTCAAAGCAACGATCACAGTCTTTTCAATAGATCAATTTCATGAGAACAATTTGCATAGCCTAATAATTTCATTAAAAGAAACAAAAAAAACACTCCAGGTGTGACTGGGAATGTCTTATGTCCACCTGTGATCGAATTGATGAAAACACATCTTAATAGCATTAGCAAGTATAAACAGAACGCACGTGATCTCTCTCTTTGTCTGTCACTGTTGAATCAGTGGAGGGACTAGAAAATCTAACACGTCAAAACTGACGAAAACTCAGACATATATTGCGATGCAAAGAGCAAAACTAGTTTAAACTTAAACAACTTTGACCATGGAATAAGCAGGTTAATCAACGGCTTGCTGTATGTTAATGGATTTTAATGCACTTCGCTAGCACATCCTGTGGTCCTTCGTCTCCACGTCATGCATTAAAATCCTTTAACCCATGACAAGCTGTTGATTATTTCTTACATATTACATAAAAAAAAAAAAATTATAATTTGTTTTTGTGAGTTTTTTTTTAAAGCATCTTTGCTGAATAAAAGTACATTACTTTTCAAAAATAACAGCAGTGTATTAAGACTGCACATTATGGCCAGTCCATAATACATTTTTTTGAAAACTTCACCATTTTATTGTCATTTTAAGATGTATTTCAAATTTGTATGTTATCAATTTATGAATGATAAACAAAATAGCAAGTGACAAACTTTTCTACTCAAATAAATAAAACTTATTTTGTAGTTTTATATTATTTTGTGAAAACAATCCTAGGAGAGCTCACCTGAGGAATGGGGAAGTGGGTGGCGTACTGTATGTGGCGGGGCTGTTCATAAACCAAAGGGAAGGCTGGGTCCATGCCCTTATCCTTGGCAGTGCTTTTGCTCTCCTGCTCTTGGGCTTGTTTCTCTGGAGAAGGGCTTCCCTTCGACTCACAGTGCATTGGAGGAGAAAACATCTGCTGAAGGTTCAGATGATGATCCGATTATATACTGCCTTATGTTAAACATCACTAACACAAAATACTCTTACCAACCTCATCAAAGTTAGCGCTTGAGTTGTGATCTATCTCCATCGACTCGGACATACCAGTATCCTGAAAATAACATAAATGCTGAGAGTAATGTACGACTCAATCCAACTAATCACATTCCATTACAATGTAGTCAAAAAAAAAAAAAAAGTCACTTGCCTCGATTTTAACACTACTTCCTGCATCCTGGTCCTTGCGCTCTGACTCATCAGAGGGCTCATCGCTGGGGGAACGAGGGCGGGGCAGATGAGAGTTGGAGGCCAGGTCCCCACGGGATATAAGGGTGCACATGTAGATGTTGTGTGAGAAGACATCATGACGGATGAGCTCGTAGAACAGGAGCACAAGGTTAGAGAACTCCACTCGCTCACTCTCGTTCCCAGGCTCAGCTTCACAAACACACAAGGACAAAGATCCAGTTTGGTTAAAAGTTTTCGTCTTTTTTCCATGTGACTATTTTATTTCAAATTATGGGTGCACTTGAAGGTGGCATCGTATTTTGTGTTTAGCGCTGTGGTGCAAGCTGAGCATTTATTAAATACAGCAGTGTCACTTTTCATATGCATAGATGTTTGTTTGAATACATCTTGCATAGATAATGGCGGGCTGCAATGTTAAGTGATGATAAATTGTGCACAACTATAGACCCTTTTCACAATGACGTCATTGGCATCACAGTGTATTTTCAGTTCCAGTTTACATTTGAATAAATGGGATACTTTTCTGGAACATGTACACCTGAAAATATTAACATTGCTTATTGTGATTCAAGTCTGTTAAAGTATTGGGCGTGTCCAAATGCTTCTCTTTTAATAGTGAACTGATTTTAAAAAATATTAAGTTGATAAGAATAAGAAGTTATTGTTCATCAAGAAAATGAGATTTTTATTTAATCAATAATGGATTTATTTTTACTTTGATGCTGCCACAAATATAAATGTATATTATTTTTTATATGAATGTTCCAGCATGAGTAGAATTAATATTAGTAAAAGTATTTAATCTACAAATGCAATCAGTTTCTTCATTTATTAAGTACTGATCCATAAATGTTTTTTCAGTATCTCCTTTTGAATAAAATAAGACCATTAGACAGTGTCCTGCCGCCACCTACTAGGTGGTTTTAATTTATTATCTGTATACCTTTACCCTAGTTAATAATAAGTTCATAATTTAATAATAAGTAAATAATTTCATAATCTACTAATAGTTCATTTTAATCTTATAATAACAATGCACTTGGTTTCCGCTACATTCATTCTTCCATGGCGGGGTGCCACGCCAAAATTTATCCCGCCACGGCTACATTAAAGCTATTCAGTCAAAATATTCAATCGTGTTTTTGTTTTTATTTAATAGCGGGTGATAATTGCACCAAAACGTATTAAAAGGTAAGTGAATTATAACATCGCAAACTTTTCTGTAATCGTAGTAGTGCTATGTGTTATTTTTTAAACCCTTTAAAGTTATGTGCTGACTGACAGGTGCGTGATGCGTGAGGCCAGCAAACACAACGTATAGCCGTTTCACTTTACTTCAGGATGCATTAATACCGCTCTGATGGTGTACTGGAGACATTCGTATATATTTCTAGCAAATCTAATAAATGTTGAAGTCATACTTGTTCCATAAACGCACTAAATTGCACTTCAGTAGCATTTATTTGAGTGCGCACAAGAAGATCTGCGCTTGAGCAGTGTATATTTGAGGGTGTGCAAGAACTTTTGTGCACGAGCAGATAAAGTCGGCACGCAAGCAAAGATTCACATGCTTGTAGGCTATAACATAAATGCAATCTCGACTTGTAATACTGCGCTCATGACATTTGTCATTGAAATAACGCCATAGGTAGTTGGTAGATCTGTATAAAAAAGCCCTGCCGCCAAAGCAGGAAAAAATCCTAGAGGAAACACTGAATGCAGTCTTCTTATTGTTAGAAAACAGCCGTAGTGACCATTTAACCATATCTGTACTAAATATACAGCTGACTGGGTGAATTCTCTATGGGGAGATCTGTGTAGGTGGAAGTAAAGATACACTGCGTGGAGTGAAACCGGACACTGCGTGATGTCATGTGAAAAGGGTCTATTATATGTGCGAAGGTGTCCCAGCATGATCTCAGATTTTGTCATCATAATGTAGAAACGGATTGAAATTCTCTATAGCCCCTTTCACACATACAGACCTTTCCGGAAAATTACCGGCAATTTTCCGGAAAGGTTGTATGTGTGAACAGGTCCTTTTTGAAAATACCGGTAAATTCGTTCTGGCTATTTTCCGGAAAGAGAAGTTGTAACATTACCGGCAATTTGCCGGAATGCTGCGCTGTGTGAACGCAGAAGGAAGATTTCCGGAATAAGCTCGTGCACGTCTAGAACGTGCTGACGTAAGACTTCTGCTTTAGCCAATCACAACAGTCAGACGCATTTACGTCCGCGCGGTTTGTGAGAATAAAAGTCTTTGAATATTTTTCCAGACACATTTAGCTGCTAGAAGTTAGTCAGATCACGTTTATATGTTCTTCTTAATGCCAACTGTGCAAATAATCATCGATAAGATGCTTATGATAAGCCGTTGTTTGTTTACCTTCAAGCTTTGCGTGTGCCCATGAAACAGCCTGTGAGCGGCAGCACACGCACATATTATGAACATCTCGACATGCGAATATGATCCAGTGAAAGTTGTTTACAATATTGATCATCAAAAGAGTTTGTAATTTAGTCAAATGTTTACAAATACAAGCGCAGCCGTTTAAAGCTCATTTGTGGTGAATGATGTCAGAATTTACCGGTATTTTGGAATGCATGTGTGAATGCTCTTTTCCGGAAAATTTCCGTAACGTCCTCGCCTGTGTGAACAGCGCTTTTTTGTATATACCGGTAAAGTCGTTCCGTAAATTTTCCGGATATTTACCGGTATCACTGTGTGAAAGGGGCTTATGTCAGACATACAACCAAAGCTCATCCCAAAAAATATTCCAGGCTTGGTTGAGCGCTGGATTTGAGCTACACTGGTTTAGCTGCTCCTCAAAAATGCATTGTCATTCCTGATGCAGTCTTAGAGAGGGACAGGAAAACAGCAGCTCATTAGCATTGAAAGAGACATAAAGTGAAACGGCTCACTGTGGACTGAGGTGTTTGTGTTTGCGGAGTCTGATTTAGGGCCCCAGGCATTTGCCTACCTAGCCTGTTAACAAGCAGCGTCTCAACATTACAACTGGTATTTTAACGTGATTACACCACAAGCATATCTATGATCATAAAATCATGAGTTCACCATTTTGTTCATCCAGATTATTTACTCTTTGTATTCCCTGAAGTACAGTAATATACATCAGCAATAGTGTTGTGGAAAACTTGAAGTTGGTAATCAGGCATGTGATTCGAGGACAAAATAATGTCCAAATAATATACTTTTTCCTGCAATTTAGTCAACTCCTTATTCAACATGATAAACTACTAATCACTAAAAATATTGAGTCTAGCTGAATTGAGTAGCCTAATATACTTTAAAATTGCATCCTGAAAAATATATCATACAAAGAATGCCACTTCACTGTATCCCATTTTCTATAAAAAGTTCACTGACTGATTAGGGTTTAATGAAATTTATGCCCATAATTCATGTAAAGTATCATGGGGTATAGGAATAATGCAGATAACTGTAAATAAATAAAAAACAGCCCTATGGTATGTCATATAAACTCACTGAGCACAGGGGCCTGTGTGTCCAGAAACTGCAGCAGGACATCCTGAAAGACAGGGAGTGTGGCAGCAGACAGAGACCCTGAGGACACAGAGCCTTTCTCATCTACAACTTCTGACTCGCCGCACCTCTAAAAACACACACAGGAACACACGTATACTTTTAGACACTCTCTTTACTGTGAATATGAACTGTTCAGCTGGATATATTGAAATATTGTGTAGTGCTTTATGATTGCTAGCAGCACCTCTGCTTCAATCTCAGTCTGCCTTTTCTCCAGGAGTTTGGCCACCACCATGGCTCTATGTGGCCCTGACCTTTTACAAGAAACAGCCCACTCACACAGCAGGGTGACCACTGCATCATCGTCTGGACTCATCTGAAGTTACAAGCACATTACACAACAAACATGAGACAGACTGCAAAGACATTAGGCTAATTTAATTGCTATTACATAGGTAATATACAGTAATAACATGATTATTACAATTAAAAAGTGATAAACAGCAGTCCAAGGGCTCATTCACACAGAACTTATTTTTCCATTCCAATGGACTACTTTCCTGTGCTTTTTCAATGTAAACATGGATTTTGAAGTGCCATGCACATGTTTTTTATAGACCTGGATACCCCCGCACCACACATTTTAAAAATGATACCAAAGCACTGTCTCTCATTTTAGATGCAAAGACGTGTTTTTGTGAATGGCCTCATATTTCATAATTTGAGCAAAACGAATAACTGTCTATTATTAGTACACCGCAGTTAAAGAGTCACAATACTGTACAATTATAGAAGCTGCAATATTTTTGTTAAAAAAGCAGCTAAAAATTGATATATTATAAATTATTATTTTAATTTGGTTTAACCTTTTCCACTGTTAATAAAGTTTAAAATGATTAAGTAACATGTTTTATAATCAGTGTTTATAAAACACAAGTGGAGCTGCTTAATATTTTTGAGTATTCTTTCATTTTAAGAATGATAAATGAACAGCATTAATTTGAAATACATTTTTTTGTGAGTATATTTCAAAGTTTCTTAGGGGAAAAAAAGTAATCAATGTTTTGAACTGTACTTTAAGCCGTTTAATAATGTGATCAAAACTGTTATTTTTACCTCATGCCCATCTTTGCTTTGTCCTGAGCCAAAGATCCGATTGTATAGAGAATCCAAAGAGTTGCTGAAGTCAGACTTCTCAAAGCTGTGGTTATCCAAAACCTCCAATGTATGCAAAACCCGGCTAATGGTGAAACCTATGAAACACACCACAAATTATATTAAATAGGATGAACCATGGGTGAGTCAGTCCTGTCCAAACTGAGATGCTGAGAACCTCCTTCCTGCCCACCTGCTGTTGTCTCCTGACACTTGTCAAAGGACCAGCGAAATTCCACGGCCTGCCCTCTCTCTTTAATCTGCTCTTCAATCTCCCGGACCTTTGCCCGAACCTGAGGAACACCAAAGTTTTTTTTACACCAACTCATTAGATGACTTAAGTTTATTTACTGATTTATTATATTACAACCTCTAAGTAACACCATTCTATTTACATTAAAACAATTCAGTCCCATAAAATATGATTAATAGTCATTTTACTATGTTAAGGCGTACATCTTTTAATAAATATGCACGTTAAGACTTGCATGACCTAATTTACACATTGTAAAAGCAAGGTGATGATATCAACTTATCTTTAAATAAGGGGAAATAAAATATTTCTAACTCTAAAGTTTATTTGATTGTTTATTTGATATAACTTGTCTGTGACATTCATCCCATTCCATCTGCCCCATATCACATGTAATACTATAATATCAAATTTTGTCAAGTTTAGATAATTGACCAGTGGACAAGGTCATGCAAAATCAAGTGAAGTCATACCTGTTGGTTAAAGGTGCTGTTGCCCCCTGGCATAGGGAGATTAGAGGGGGCGATTGGCAAGAGGTCTAATGGAGAGCCAGTCTTATTACGACTATCTGTCAGAGAGTAGTGCCAGACCAGAGCGCTGGGGCAACACAACACAATACTCTATAGCAAGAAAAACAAAACAAGAAAAATGCAGTTATGAATAGCAGTGCTGGGGAAAGTTACTTTTGAAAGGAATGCATTGCAATATTGAGTTACTCCCCCAAAAAAGTAAATAGTTGTGTTCCCAAAACAGTCACTAATTGCTTTTGCATTAATTTTCAGAACTTGTTTTTTTTTTTTTTAATTGAGGAGCTCTGCAATTAACATCACATTGTATAACCTACTTTCTGACCTCAGAGCTATACATAATGTATGTACAGATTATTGAAAGTTTAAACCCATGTGTTTGCTACTTTTGTACTATTTAAAAATCATTCTCCATTAAAATAACCCACTTTTCCATTAGTTTGATACGTTCAAAATAACACAACACATTCTCTCATTGACTGTGTGATTCATTGTGACTACTTAAATTGTAATTCAGCGATTTATTATTTTTTTTAAGTTAAACTGAAAAAGTATTGCGTTACATTTTCAAAAAAAGTACCTTAAATATTATTACTTAATTTTTAAAAGTAATGCGTTACTTTACTCGTTACTTAGAAAAGTAATATTACATAACTCGCGTTACTTTTAATGCATTACACCCAATCATCTAACTGTGGTTAAAACAACAATCTCAAACATCAGCAATTATTGCAAGAGACAGACATGAATCTAGGGCTGCTAGATTATGGGAAAAATCATAATCACGATTATTTTGGTCATAATTGTAATCTCGATTATTCAAAACGATTATCAGTTGAAGTCAAAATTATTCGCACTTGAGGGAATTTATTTTTATATACAAATATTTCCCAAATTATGTTTAACAGAGGAATTTTTTACAGTATTTCCTATAATAGTTTTTCTTCTGGAGAAAGGCTTAGTTGTTTTATTTTAGCTAGAAAAAAATCAGGTTTAAATATTTTAAAACCTTTTTTAATCGCTCAATATTATTAGCCCCTTAAGCAATATATATTATTTTGATTGTCTGCAGAAGAAACTACTGTTACATAATGACTTGCCTATTTACTCTAGTTAAGCCTTTAAATGTCACTTTAAGCTGAATAGTAGTATCTTGAAAAATATCAAGTAAAATATAATGTGCTGTCATCATAGCAAAGATAAAAGAAATCAGTTATTAGAAATGAGTTTTTAAAACTGTTATGGTTAAACTGTTAAACTGTCCTTTAAGCTTCACTGTAAGAAAAAAACTTTAACTACAAAAGTCCTTCAGTCAAGAGCAGTGAGTGGATTCTGTACTTTTGTTGTTGGATTAATAATAAAAACAGCAGCAGGAATATCGCACGCTGTCACTTTAAGAATAGTGCGGCTCCGGTATGGTTTTACTTTCACATGTCTTTTGATTCTCAACTTGTTTGTTTATTACACAAATGAGGGTTAATATGAATAATCACTAAACACCGTGCATGTATTTGACCATTAAAATGCTCGCATTAAGATGGCGTTAGATGTGCGTGTGCTCTGCTGTCCGAGGCTAAGCGCGGTTAAGCATACACACAACAGCATATGCTCTTTTGCGCTTTCAAAAATATGAATGATGCGCAACGTGTGCTGCAAAAGTTACATTACAGCACATGCTTTTATTCACTTTCACGGGAAACTGGAAAGGAGGCGGTATATGATGGAATAATTGTTTATCTTGATTAATGGTTTTTCATAATCGTTAGAAGCCGTAATCGAAATCGAAACCGGATTTTCGATTAATTGCACAGCCCTACATTAATCTACATACAGTACATAAGACACTTTTTAATTGTACTTGCTCTTTAACTTTCAAGTTTGCAGTCTCCTTGCAGGGGGTTGTGTACTTGTTAAAGGGATAACTGGATAACACTGGTACTTGCTGTCTTATGCAGAAGTTCATTCACTAGCACTTACATGTTAAAACTGCCTTGATAGAATAGGTGAAAATAATGTTTTTTTTATTAATAATTTTTTTTTTGTTATGACAAGATCTATCATCCTGCCCACTTCAAATTAGGCAGAGATAAAGCATTGCTTGTATTTATGCATGTTGGATATTTACAGGTTATTTTCTGTTATACTAGTTTATTCTGACTGTTTCAGGCTCATACAGAGTGTAATGAATTAATATTTAAAAGTTGTAAAGTAACAACTTAGGCCAATTTATTCTATTTATTCACTTTCTCGTCAAGTGCACATGGTAGGTCCGGTAAAGCATTCATACACTTTTAGTAACATCACCTAGTAACATACGCTAAAAATAAATAAGTAATATTACGTATATTATGTATAACATACATTTCACAACAATACAGAGCAAAAGATCTGTAATTGCTGTGACAAGTGTGGGCGATGCCAAGAGCAATGAGATCAGATGGGGGGGTCGGGACTGTTTAACGAGTCTCATGTCCTGTAGAAACCTCTGGTGTTTGTTTTTCCTATTATGAAAGTCAATGGTTACAGGTTTTCAGCTTTCTTCAAAATATTTTGATTTGGATTCAACAGAAGAAATAAACTCATAAAGGTTTAAAACCGCTTGAGAAGCGAGTAAATAGTAAGTGGATTTTAAATGTTGGGTGAACTTTAATTTTGCAAGTAAATTTGATAATTTTGACAGCCCTAGTTGCAATGATAGATGTGTGACAGTACCTGTAGCATGCAGCTTAGTCCAAACACCACTGGCCTATGCTGAGGGCAGATGTAGAAGTCCGTGAAGGGGGTCTGTGGCTGGTTGCCCCCTGCAGGTTGAGATGTGGGTGTTGGGGGTAGAGCGTTCCCCTGCTGCGCAGAAATGCCATGGGCCTGATGCCCACCTGGACCAGGCCCGATACTGCCATCGCTCAGCAGCAAATTGAGCCGGCGTGTGCAGAAATACGCCAAGCGTCTAGATAAATATGCTGACTGCACAAACTCCCCAGAGTACTGAGAGAAATAATGACATGGGTCAAAATAATAACACACCATTCAGAATATCTGAAAAATCTGAACAACACTGCGAAATTAATTAAAATGTCAAAAAATTAGCTGAATGGACTAAATGTTTATTTTTAGTTTGTTTGAGTAAAACATAAGTCAATGCAATGAAAATCACAGTGATTAAACACTATAAAATCTGTCAAAAACTTTAACTAAGCCTGGACTAACTGTGTAACAAACATTTTCTCATTGTGTGTCGGCATAATTTCATCTAAGAAAAAATATCTCTGCAGTTTAACCATGATTATTAGCATTAAACTAAATAAAAATGTTAAATTTGAAAAAAGATAAACTGAAAAACAGAACATTTGCAAAAACTCTAATTCACAATCCAAACAAAAGGTATAATGGTTAACTCACGATACTAAATTAGCCCAATAAACATTTGGTAGCTGAAAGCATAATCAAAATATTTATACAAGGGACAGGAAATGCTGTTCCAAAGCTTCCATGCAGGCCTGGTAATACATGGCAAAAGTGCTTTAATGTGGTCATGATGAATGCTCCAGTTTTTATTAATAGTGTGAATTAAATAGTATAATTTTGGTTGTACAAATTTTATGTCAAATTTTATTTTTTTAATTTTTAATCTTTAGTTAATCTAAACTAATGAATCTGTTATATTTAATTTATAGTTTACCTTCATTAAACAGTTTTTAATGCATTCACTTTATTACAACTTTATTTGTGGAAGCTTGTCATTTAGTAAGCTTTGATCTGAAATCAATATTCAGTTTAAAATCATTTAATACAATTTCATTAATAATCAATTTATTAAGTAGCCGCACAGTGAGCAGCATAATGCATATCCAGCTGGTCATCACACAATAAACCTCTTCAAAGCAATACACAACAAGTTAATTCTGTTCTAACCTGCTGATGTGGATTATACCTTATATAAACACCCCCCACCCCACTCCACAGCTTTGCTGCTGACGGTTGTTGAGTGTCATGCTGCATTAACTGACCTGTAACAGAAGTGGCAGAAGCAAACGTAGAAGCTCATCCTCTCCAGGTCTAATCTTCTCAAAGCACTCCAGCACCCAGGTGAGGAACTCGTGTCTGTCTAACATACCATCCTGAGACACACAAACACAGTAAATACCAGACCTTATAAATCACCTTTAATCCACCAACTCTCTGTTATATATTGACGCACAACATACACTTTTACACAACAAGCACCTTAACATATTTTTGATAATAGCAAACAAAACACTGCATGAGACAAAATGCCAAAAATCATTACAATATTAACTATCATGTTCTATAGATTTTTTTTTTTTGCAAATTTCTCACTACAAAAATGTTATTTTCAATTAGTAATACACATTGATGAGAACTTAATTTTGGACCAGTTTAAACGTCAATTTTATCTGCATTTGGATTTTTTAAACCCTCAGATTGTACATTTTTAAACCGTTGCACCTTCACCATTTATTGTCTGTTCTAAAAAATACATAACCACACATAAATCTAAAGTTTACTTATTCAGTTTTCTTTAATTCATTTTCCTTCAGCTTAGTTCCTTTATTCATCAGGGGTCGCCACAGCAGAATGAACCGCCAACCAATCCATCATATGTTTTACACAGCGAATGCTCTTCCAGCTGCAACCCAGTACTGGGAAATACGCATATACACTCACATTCACTGGACCACAATGACGCTATTGTTAAAAACATGTCTATTGACGAGTTAATCTTTTTCTCTCCTTTCTAGATTTCTGATCAATTTATGTCAGATTTATTAATGTAGTGAATCATCTGATTTTCATTGAGCAGGTGTAATATTCATTAATATTAATTATTCGAATTCTTATATTCACTAAGGTGCCGCTGTTTGGGGTCGAATAATAGTTACGTCATCATTAACCTGCAGGCTGCATTTTGCTCACGAGGCTGCGAGAAAATAAATAAAAAGCGCTGAGCTGCGACAAAATAATGAATAAAAAGAGTGAGACCGGCCCACCGAGAATTCTCCCGGTCCTCCCGATTAGCCAATCCGGGCCTGCACACAATCATTCACTACAACCAATTCAGTTTATTCAATTCACCTATACTGAATGTCTTTAGACTGTGGGGGAAATCAGAGCACCCGGAATAAACCCACATGAACATAGAGAGAACATGCAAACTCCACACAGAAATGCCAACTGACCCAGGCGACAGCGCTAACTACTGAGCAACCACGCTGCCTCTATTAAGAATTCAGTTAATCTCAATTACTTAAAAAAATACTCTTATGATGGTTCTGTGTTCCAGGGTCACATATACCAGTTGTGTCCTATTTTAAACCCATCATGAAAACACACTTTGAATCGATGAGTTCATTGTAAATAGGGGTGTCACGATTTCGATTTTTAATCGAAATCGTTCGAAATTTATGCTCAATTTCGATTATCGAATAAAAAATAGAATCGTCGATGCTGCCACGCCACCATGTCACGTCAGCTTGGCTTGCCAAGAGGGAAAAAAAACAGGCTTGTTGAAGTGCTTGTTAAACTGCAGAAGCAGGAGACCCGTCGACAGAACTTAAACCCTCTCCTCTTTCAATGAAGTCGCCGGTGTGTAATAAGCATTTTGGATTTCCAGTGAGCTATGTTGACAACGTTCGTGTTGTCGACAAAAAAACACAGTTTTGCAAGCTCTGTTATGTACGTATTACGTACGGTTCGTCCGATAGACAACACCGGCATCGCGATCCTCCGCCCGCCCCCGTTGCAAATCTGCTCGCGAAAAGTACACACTCAGGCCCTGTTTACACTGTCTTTGTTTTTAAATGGCATTTTAGAACAACAACGATTTGACATCCACAGTGGCGTGTAGCATTTCTGAGCAGCCCTCCTTCCTTTCTACCTCTGACACACACATACACAGACACACACACACACACACACACACACACAAAGCCATGGGTTTGAGACAGCGGGTTCAGGCAGTCAGAGGATCAGTAGACTGCTTCAATCTTTCACTCACTTGTACTTAGTCATTTTAGCGAACACCTCAGATACTGTTGGCTGGTTCCTGTTGGTTGCGCCTCTTTTTTACCGACGCCATTATAACGACACAGATCACTGCCTATTCACGAGTCCCGCAGAAAAGGTGATTGACAGGTGGTAATTATGTGTGTATCTTGCCTTTATTCATTTACTGTATGATTTGTTTATGGGTAAAACAAAGACCATGCAGGTCAGGTAGTTTAAACGGTAGACTACAAATAATTAATTGGTCATAATCGAAAATCGAATCGAATCGTGCCTTTAGAATCGAAAATGTAATCGAATCGAGGATTTGGAGGATCGTGACATCCTTAATTGTAAACACTAAAGTAAATGCCAACCTTTATTACTGTCCAACAATACTGCAAATTTATAGTATTTAAAGTTTAGACAGAAAAGCCGCACACCCATATCCACCAATGAATACTTCTGATTGCATGTTTGACAGTCCATATCCCCTATATCTGGCCACTGTTGTTTAAAAACAAAAATGCACAAATACTCAGTACAAAGAAAACAAATTTCAATAAAGCAGTAGTGAACACATAATAAAAACAGTTGCTCTAACTTGTGTGGTGCAACAGTACTATTGGATCAAATAGGGTCAGCAGATCATTGTCTTACAATCTTTTAGAAACTTCTACACCAAATTGTGCTTTGGTTGTAAATGAATGCACAGTAACTTTAAGTAAACAAAGAAAAAGGTTCTTACTACCACAGTCTGGAACTGCATTAAAAATAAATTTACATGGCCTCCATGGAATGTTCTGATTCCAGTTACACAGGCATTTTGTCTCACATTTCTCTAGCAAATTCTCTAGCAAGTGCAGTCTGTGTGTGAAGATGCTGCAGGCAGTGGCTTTGTCTCGATAAACAATTTAGTGTTGCGATAAGGGATATTGTTGTTCATTTAGTACCATTTCATGCCACTGATTTTAAAATGGTTATACAATATAATAAGCATAAACACATTTAAGGGACAAAATATTTCATTATTAAAGTAATTTAGATTCTCTAACTTTATGGAAAAAATTTTAAATAAAATGTCATATGAACTGACACCAGTTGCTTTAATGCTTTTAAAAGGCTTTTCAGGAAGTGGAACACAGATTTGAAACAGATCCTTTGGACAATTTCTCTCAGCAAATTTAAGAACTATATGTGAAAATTCACATTTGCTTCACCTGTCAGTAATAACTGTTTTTAAACCTAGGCTTACAGAATTATCCAACAG